ATTACCATTGGTGGTTATAATAGGGCATTCTTAACAGGCCAAGTCTCCCAGGTGGGTGGGAAGAAGAAATAAACTGTAATTAAGAGAGATGCTTTGCTGTTTGCAGTTATACATCATTTTCACATTTCAGCTTGGGAAGGGAGTCTAGGAAAAGTGTTGGTTACATAACACTACATTTTTATTTTAGCCCCCTGTGAGAAACTCACACAGACCAAACCTTATACTTTATCTGCCATTACTGTAGCTGTTTCTACCTTGCATTTCTTAATCAATATACTGATGTTGTGTGTTGATGGACTAGAGAGACAACTTGCCCTGAGAATTACAGTTTGATTGCTGGCATCACTAGTCTGGTCAAGAGCCAAAATTGCAGTTATCCAGACATTTATTTAGTCTCTAAGCATTTGTCAAGAGCCTTATTCTTTACAGGCGCTGCCACAAGGCAGGAGAAGATGTACAGGCAAGGTGACTGAGCAGCCTCTGCTTCAGGTTCCTGAATAATGACCAAAATGAAGGGACATGGCAAACATCAAAGCCCACAAAAGAAAATGGATGTAAAACAGGAAATATAAATAAATGCCAAAAAGCAGTGACTGTTTTATGAAACAGTTTCACTCACGATGAAAAACTACCACTGAAAGCTTTGAAGCCTGATACTGACAAGATTTCTTAGATAGATTAAGTTCTGTTTAAAACGTAGTGTACAAAAGGTCTTATTGACAGTACTTGGAAAAAGCCCCCAGCATTAAATATTGGATTCTAATCCTGCATCCCACATACCAGCCACACCGCTCTCTAATAGCAAGGCTCTCTGCTCCCTGGTTTTGGGACCTGGTGCCTAAACCCTATTTATCTCTATGATAAACATAGCATGTGCAGCACACACCTTCCACACCCCAGAGCTTCAAAGGGTAGGCTCAGAGTAGCTATGATTTTGCAGACTCCATTTACTGCAGTTGTTAGAAGTAGACATCATGATGATCAGAAATGAGGAAAATTATTATTAAGAGTCTCAGAAAAAAAAATTGAGATGACATTTAAAAAAAAAGGTTCCCTTTGCTTCCCACTCACCAGCAAAAAGCTAAACAAGACAAAAAGTCAGGTGTAATAACAGTGGGATGCTCATTACCGATTCAAAATGATCAATAACAATACATTACTAAGTAGAGGCTCTTTTGAACCCTGTTCTACTGCCAGCTACTTAATCACTATGGTTACTATTCCCATCAGATCTTATGCATTCCCACCATACGTGGAAGCCAGTTTTTAGCGGAAGCTTGTGCCCAGCACTGACTACTCAGCAGCAATTCTGAAACTTAGCATTTCAAGCGGTGAACTCTTCCTTTAGAGTGGGGGCCCAACCTCTTCATTTGTCCACCTACTTCAGGAAACATATCATTTAGAAAGCAGGATTCCACATTTATTTATTCATTCATTTATTGCCTTTTCAATTATACAGCCCATATTGATAATTACTTAAGCAGCTGTGGCAGATTCTATGCTTAAGAAGCATGTGATGCTATGGAAGTCAACTGGAGCAGAAAAACTGGTTTTGTAGGGTGGCACCTGTTCAACCCGCCACTACACCCATCACGTGCCTCAGTTAGTACTCCTGTATTTGTAGTTTAAACTTTACACTTAAAAATTACACATATAAAAATAAGCCAAAGATTTTTAACTGTCTCCACAATAAACCAAATCCGTGCTATAAGGTCTTACACAACAGAATTCCACAGTGAGTTCATTTCTATAATGAAGCTCTGCAAAAATTACCAGAATAAAGCCAGTGTATAGAAGTCAGGCTATAAAAATACGCAACCCCCTACATAAGCCTGGAAAAATCAGTTTACTATCAGTTTGGCAGCAAGACACGTAAAAGTTGATCACCACTTTCAGATGGAAGTTTTCTGCAGCTAAACATACAAAACACTAAGAATTTCCAAATGAGATCTACATACTGACCTTATTGAGGACTGTCACTTGGAAGTAAACACAGAAATAGATTGGCAGATTGGCTAACAATATGTATAATGCACTCTCTCTGTTTTTAGTTTACGGTGAGAAATGCTACAGACCCACACTGCTTTGAATCAGAGAGAACGGGTGGCGTTTACCTTTGGTCAGTGACTCTACAGCCATATCAGACATGTCCACTCGGAAAAGCAAGTACTGCTGGGCCTGCATGAGAAGACCTGGAAAGTCTTTTTCACTGGAAGCAAAATGTTCAATTTTGTTTTTCACAGATGCCAGCACCTGTCAAAACAACAGTAATACATCTTTAATACTACTATTCTCAGACTCTCTCAAAGATACCCTAGAAAACAGTTACAGTGCTGACCCAGAGACTATATTTAAATTCTTAGCTTTTCACAGACACAATAAAATCAAACTCAAGTGAGAAGCTCTCAAACAGACAGGAAAGCAAATACACTGAAAGAATAGGTAAAGAAGACACCAGAAGTACTACTTAGATCAGTGGCGCTCAACCCTTTTGACTGGCAGGCCAGATGAGTACTGCCTGATCTGCCTGCAAGCCAAATCCAGCTGATGGTCCCAATCCAGCACCCCTGGGTGGCATGGCAGAGCCTCACCTGGCCATGCCAAGAGGGTGTGTGGGGCAGCCTGGCTCCAACCCAGGCTGGGGGTGGGGAGGGGAATGGGATGTGGCCTGGTCCCACAAGGGGAAGAGTCTGTGGCCTAGCCCAAACCTAACCCAACCCAACCCAATGGAGGGATGAGGGAAGTAAGGCATGGCCTGGCTCTGATCTACTGCACGGCTTGGCAATCTGGGAGAAGGTGGGAGTGTTAATGGCTACCACTCTTCCACCACGAAATTTCCCAACCCATAGGGAGCCCTGTGGGCCACATGCTATTGCTCCACGGGCCAGAGGCTGAGCACCCCTGGCCTAGATTGTCAGTGGGTAGCAGTAAGGCACTGATGAAGTACCTGATATAGTGACCGTACACTAGGCTGAAACACCATATTGGTGTTGAGTAGAAAGGAACGAAGGAGAGGTTGAGGGTAACTGGCCAGCTGAGTAATAATCCCGATGAGCAGCAAGTTCACATGTAATGAATTCTCCAGCATATTCTCCAGTTTTGACAGCACTACACTGATAAATGGTCCTGCAAGAAAAGCAAAAGGAACCAACGTTGTATTCTTAACACGGAGAGAACACATCCTAAGATCAAAGGAACAAACATTTGAAAAGGGGTGTTGATCTCCATATCTGACCAAGACAGACTTTTTACATGCCATTTAAAAGTCAGCAGGAGGAAAGCTGGGTCTGTACAGACAAAAGACATAGCTTTTTCTCCTGTTAACCCTATCATAAGCAAGGGCACTTTGGCTGGCTAGCCAATCAGCTGACATGAAGAGTATGTTAGCCCACACAAGCATTCTACCTTGAGTGTGCCAATAAAGACTTAGTCCTGTGAATTATATTCTATAGTCCTATTCCACTGAAGTTAACTGGAGGCCTGCCAGTGACTTCAGTGAAAGCAGGTCCGGCTTCTTATTACTGTTCTCACTTAATTCTGCAAAAGAAAGGGCAGGGTAAATTATGCTGAGGTTTCTCATCTCATTATAGTACTTTGTGGTGTTTTCGAGGGATTATGAAAATGCTACTTTAAACATAAAAACCAAAACCCTGCACAAGTCCATCTCACAAGACAGACATTTCTTACGCTGCAAAAATTCACACAAAGTGCAGAAGCCATAAAAATAGATTTATCAGCAAAATTGTTGGTAGATGTACGCTTTATATATATGCATTGCCAATAAATAACTGGGTTGGTTTGTGTACTCATTTTCCAGTACAGCAGCTGAAATAGAAAACTATTTATGGTGAAAGTACATAAACCCCTTGGTGTGAGGCTTAAGAAGTCTTTGCCAGCACAAACCCAAGTTTAAGCAAATGGCAATGGATTTTAGTATGTGCTGCCAGATGACTGAGCAGATGTGTCGCTTTAGGCAGTCTGTAAGGGTCACCTGATGACAAAAAAATGTGAGGCTCAAACTGAGTGCAATTTCAGTCTTGCTATGCCCCTCCCACAGGGTAAAAGTACAAGAAACCAGCAGCTGTCCCCCAGGGGTATCCCTCTGATGTGGAAGAATCCCAGGTGGCACTGAGCCAGCATAGCCGACTGTTCTGCTACCCCTGTCTTGGCCCTTGGCATCAGAAGCATGCTGGGGACATTCCCAAGGTAAAGAATGTGGCCCAAATCTCATGGCGCTTCTATAAGCACCTGCCAATAAACAACACCCTTCAAAGTCTTCACTGGCTGTGCTTAAGATTAGAGCATTCTTGAGGACAGCTTTAAAACTATGCTGAAGGCAAAAGTGATCTCTAGCTGATGCCAAAATAAAGAACCAAGCCACAAATGACTACTTTACAGCTCCTCCCAGCAAGGCATGACTGAGGACTGGAGCCCAGTCCATTTAAAAAATTGTGAGTTCAAAGTAAGGTGTAAGGAGGTATATACCCTGAACCACATCCCACCATTGCTAACCTCAGTGCTCTTTCACTGAGGAGAACAAAGATGCCAGGGCTACCATAGGCCTATTGTGCTGGCTTATAAAATACCAACTGTAACTCACACGACAGCTGTCAAAATGCAGGTCTACATAATACACCAGTTGACCTGACAGTGGCCACCTGGAATCACATCAACACTAGCACTCCCACCCATGGAGCCATCTAGGAACATTTGGCTGGGATATAGAAAAAGCCCATTCCCACCAATGTCTGCCCCTTCTTCCTGCCCCCATGCAGAGTGACGTGCTCCAGGTGCAGTGGGACCTGTGATGGACCAAGGACAGTTGTGCAAGGGGTTCTAGGAGAAGGTGGGGAGACAGATCAAGGCTTAGCTATGTCCAGAGCATCTACAGCTAAAGCCAGTAATTTGCATAAAAAGCTCAGCATCACTTCAGGAGACTTCACCAGAATATGCACAAACCACTTTCAATCTCAAATGGAACTGAAAAAACAGTAACTCCATACCATTCAAGAACCATAATAAAGCAACAACCACAGACGTTTGGCAGAGTTTAACAAGTCAATAAATGGCAGAGCACAAGCTAATTACAATCAAAATAGGTTTTATGCATGTTCCAATGAAGAGTCATGGACATAATAACAAAATAGTGACATACACAGATATATGACAGTATACCCCCTCATTACCAATGTGCTGATTTATAGTATGGGGGTGAGTAGAGAAGCACTGTGGTTTAATGCTCTTATGCTACACATAAATACTAAAGGAATAACTATTTTCTAACAAATGGTCACATCCAATACCAATTTTTTTGCTGAGGTACAAAATATGGAACAGAACATCTGTGCGCTGGTAGAATTTACCGGGGGTAGGAGACCCTTGGTAGATATGTGACCCTACGAAATAAAACTCCATCCTATGACAGTGCCCAACAACACTACGCTGACACAAATCTGACCCCTAAGACCGCCACATGACACCAGATCTCAAATTATAAGAAGAACAATTTATTTCTATGCAGTAACCTATAGAAGAGAGAAATGTCATTGTGTCTGAATGACAACATCATCTCCATTTCAAAAGGCAATTTATCAAACGTTTTCCCCATGCACCACCAGTTAAAAGATCGTTTGAAATAGAGTGAAGAGACAAAGTATGTCTGCATGGTACAGTTCAGTGCTGTACAGAGAAACCTGTGCTAATTCAGGCCTCAGAAGCAGCATTGCCATTTTCACAAGTACTCCATCTGAGCTAACGGACCCTCCTTCTCAGCAGGGCCAATTAGTAACAGAAGTGCACCATGCTACAGTGGCCTTGTTGCTGAGGTACCTGAAGTAGCTGGTTGAGAGCTAGCTTAGGTATCTCTGCAAGGCATTGTGTATGTGTAGACATACTGCAAGAACCTAGTACCCTTTTGGAGGAATGTTAGTCCTAGTATCCCACTCTTGTTTGACAGGAGCAAAAGGGAAACGAGAAGGGAGATGAACCAAAGTATCTGAGCTTCATTCAACAGTGAGACATAGGAAAATAAAGGTGCTGAATGTGACTGGGAACGTGAGAAAGGCTTTTGGTACAGGGAGCAGTATTAGCAAATCCATTTGAAAAACAAGTTGTCCTTCTCAAACGATACCAGGCATGCTGCCCTGCCAGAAGAGCCTACATTTGACTAAATGACTGAAACGTTAATGGATCCCCTTTTGCCAAAACTTATGTCACCCTTAGAGGCTTCATTGCAGACAAGTAGGCCAACACTTCTTATTACTATTCTGTGTAGGGACATAGTACTTTGGAACCCTAATCCAGTCCAGGACCCCAACGTGCTAGGTGCTGTACAAACATTAAAAAAGGTACCCTCCCAAATGAAAGAGACTTAATTCCGTGGTCATAGTTCACAATGTGCTTGATATGCGGGAAACAGTGCAACAGGGATGGTGGCATAGGCATTTGAAAAGAAGGATGCCAGGGCAGTTTGCAAAGGCACATGCAGAAATGTCAACAGTGCTGCCACCTAGTGCTCAAAAGTGAAATAGCAGGTAAGAGTGGCAGAAGAATTTCTGCTGTTTTCTTTTCATGTTTTTTACGCTGTTGTAGAAGCAACTGCAGAAATGGAAGGTGCAATCACTGCATTAGAGAAATTATTTGGTTATTCTCTCCCCTCATAAAAGTAGGGTGGTCCCCACGAATGCAATGACTGACATTTGTGCAATAACACCATCAAGAGGATTTAAACAATTAAACAAAACTGGGGAAAAATGTGGAACTAACAGTTGCTATCATCACAGTGATTATTCTTTCCTCTAACCTTCTTGTCTGTCTTGTCCAGACTAAGTTTTTCAGGGCAGGAACTACTGCTGATTCTATGTTTGTGCAGCACCTTATAATAATGGTGGTCCTGTTCTTGGCCAGCTCTTTGACACTATCATAATAGTAAAAAAAAAAAAAAAAAAAAGATTTAATTAAACGAGAACTTTCAACCTGTAAATGGAGCATTCCGGCTCCATGAATGATGCTTGGAAGAAGCATCCTCCTTTACTCCAAATGGAGATGGTATGCTTTCTGCAGAGGGAGTGTCTGCTGAGAAATTCTCAAAGTCCTCCTCCTCTTCTGCTGGAGATAAAGGTTCAAAGCTCACCAACTTCTGTTCCTCTTCCAAGCCCATAGTATTAGAATTTAGTTCTTTAATAATTTTGTCATACTGTATAATGAAATCTTCACTGTCTGGACTTAGCAGCCTTATGTCTGAATTATGATCTGCTTCCTGAGAAGAGAGCTTCAGCTCTAAATTTGGCCTTGGGTGCACTGCAGCAGTCTCCTGGTTTGGTTTTTCCTTTGTTACATCATGAGTTAAGCTTGAATTTTTCTTACTGTGTTCCTCCAAGTCCCCATCTGACTGAGGCTTTGTGAGAGGCCCATTATCAGAAGACAGGCTTTGAACTGTTTTATTTGACTGTCTGGTTGTATTTAAAGTTTCCTCCTTGGAGCTGTCATTATCCTGAGCATCCTTTTGGGCACAAAGTCTGTAAATCATGACATCATCCTGAAAATCAGATTCCTCTACATAAGACCCTTTGATGAGCATGACTGCATTCTTCTTCATCTCTTGAATGTGCTTTGGTGGCTCTGCAGGTGGCTGTGCCTCTCCACTTCCCAGATCATCATAAGCCTGGGGTGAGCTCACATTAGATCCAGGAGAAATTCCTGTGTCATAGCTGTCATCCCATTCCAGCTCCAATTGCATCTTTTCTCCCATGGGAGTCATCTGAGAGGAGCTGCAGTTGCTGGAACTTCTCTGCTGGAGTCGGAACATGGGCTGCTCCAAATTTTTAGTGTTTTCCTCAGCCAGCGTTTGAATAAAGGTGTCTGGGTCAGGGTCTTCCCCATCATATGGGGCAGACCAAACCCTGCAGTCTTTCATGCACTGGAGGATGGTGGCTTGAGCTCCCCACAGGTACTGCAGGTAACTGATGTCCACAGCTCTTCCATATTCTACAATACACGTGGATTCAGAAGGGCTTGTGCAAGAGCCTGAAACAAAACAATAATAGGTCTAGTCACGCCAGATGGGAAAAACATTTTAAAAAACCTGAAGTCATACAGTGATGCAAGGCAAACATTACACAGCACAGGAAGATTCTTCAGCTCCAAAACATCCAGAGGTGCAGGATAACCAAGAAAAGCATGTTAAGAGATTTGGTGCAGGCTCCATATGTCTTTATGTCAACATCAGACTACTGTTCAATCCTTCAGACCAGCTGCTGAACATTTTACAAGCAGTGGGCAGAAACAACCGAGCTTGAGTCCAAGGTGGAATACTGCTTCTCACCCAGCTGCTGCCACTACCACCGCTTCTCCCCACTGTTGAAATGCCACTGCAGCCCAACCCCCACCTGGCTCCTCTGGCTGGAGAAAAACAGCTCCACAGACTGGATGCAGATTGCAGGCCATAGGTTATCAACCCCTGCTTTAGACAGTGCTGCCCCTCTGGAAGTATATAGTTGTATGTCCTGCCATTTTTCGTGAATGTGCATCCAAACTTGTATATTCCTTAACATAAAGATTTTGGAGAGCTTGACAAATGGAAAAGATTAAATGCCAGACCTTTCCACTTCAGGCTAACTACACAGTGTATACAATCTGAACAGTAATTTGTTATCAACTCTCTCAACCAATGTAGAAGGTAATCAGACAGATTCCTCAAATCATGACCTGTCCTTCCTCAGTAAAATGCACACCAAATGTTTACCAGCACTGTGCGCAGCCTTTGTCCAGAGGATGTAATCTTTTGCTTGGTTTTCAAGAGTCAATGTGATCCCAGTAGAGCAGCAGACTGGTGTCAAAGCCAGTAGTTTTGCAGCAGATACAGAGTAACAGTCTCTTTCCCTCACAGCCCATCTTTGACTCAACATCATGTGATTACATGGGATCAGGTACCTGAAATTAAAAAAAACAAAACACAACTTATCATAATATGCCCACTACCAGAGTCCTTGTATGATGAAGAAATTAATAATTTAGAAAATTCTCTCTCACCTTCCCCTTTGCTTAAACTAAGACACAGAAACCAATTTCCAATCACCTTCCTAAAAGCCATAAATTTGCTGGTGAAGGGTTGAGGAATGAGGAGGAACTGGCCTGCAAAGGTATTTACAAGAGACATGGGCTAGTTAGGTCAGATTAGAGGGGCTGGACTGGTCAATGGACTGTACCTGAACACTGCCTTGGGTGGTATCTCGGAAGGGCAAAGGAATAGGAAAGGCATATGCCAACAACTGGCAATTTGGTTGAGATTCTCTCTGTATGAGTCAGGGTTGTGGAATCCAAACTAGGAGACAACAGTATGTGCCTGTAATTCAGGGGCGGGCAATTATTTCAGATGGAGGGCCACTTACAGAGTTTTGGCAAGCCATCAAGGGCCACATGACAGGCGGCCAGGGGCAGATAAATATTAATTTTCTAAATTTGTAGGGGCCCTGCAGGCCGGATAGAATGGCCTGGTGGACCATATCTGGCCCACGGGCTGCGTTTTGCACCCCCTGCTGTAATTTGAGAGACCCTGCATGTTATGAAAGGGACCAACCAAAAAGGTCAAGGCAATTTTTGGGACAGACCTACAGATGTCTGGATGGATGAAGGGATGGATTGTGGAGAAAGAGGAACACATGTAGCATACACTTGCATTTAGGTTCTTAGCTTCCTCGTGTTGGTTTAGCTTGGTGTTTTGCCATTTTAAATTATTTAAACTTGAGGTATAAAAAAATTAGTAAGTGATTCTCTAAACAAGTAAAAGATTTTTCAAAATACAACCTGCCCTCCTAAAGTAATCTTACAATTCTGAGTTCTCCACAGAGTTATGCTAGGATTGAAAGGCAGGGGCTTTATGGCAGGGGCTGGATGGGATCCCAAAGTAACTCTTATGTTCCCAGCAATCTTATGTGATATGATACAATTCTAATCAGACAGACAGCCAGACATGCCAGGTACTCTTATTAAAACAACAATATAAGTTGAGAAAGTTCACCAATGAAAACAAATTTAATTGAAGTTTGGGTTCCGAGACAAACGTGTTACATGAAAAGCGGGGAAAAAAGAGGAAACTCATTCAGAACATTGCATAATAAAAGTTACATGTCCCACTAACCCTGGTACAACAGTGCAGGAATTCAAGAAATTCCCGGACAAAGGGATAAAAAGTGAGGAAACAATAAAAAAGTTTGGAAGCTGCAGGCAAGTGAATACCCCTATATTATATTGCATTCAAAGAATAATATGCTAAAGAAAACACAAGAGGGGAAGTTATGCATTTAAAATGAGACAACATAGAGTCTAACAGTGATAAATATAATCCTGGCTTCTCTGCGTTCACCTTTATCCAAATAAATCACAGTAACAGGACATGTGAAAAGTATAAGTTTCCCTTGTGCATGAGTATCACAGGAGGTAAATCATGTTTCTCTCGATTTGGTATTTGTGTCAGAATCTTAAACTTTCTTATGTCTGCAGTGGTTTGCATTTGTTCTCTTTCTTAGAGTTCCTGTCTCACTGCACATCCAAAGAGTGACTGAACTATATGCTTTGAAAAATTAAGAGGGGAAAAAGGAATTTGGATTTACCTTAAAACTAGCTGTAACATCACATCTTCACAATGTAAGCCAATGAGTGTTCTGAACAATGCCAAAGATACCACACAGAGCTAAAAAATGATAAACAGAGTCAGTTTTTGATCTGGCAGTTGTACGTTTCCAATGTGCTAAAATGCATTTTCACTGAAGAAAAGCACAGCCTGAATTTAGTGCTTTGTAAAAGACAATAAGCATCCTTATTTCATTCTGCCAGCACCCCTGCAGGAGTTTATTAAGTTTCCTTGAATTACACAAACGAAATATATATTTTTATAAAATACATACAGAACACATTTTTAGGAGAAGTTGAAAGAAAAAAAGATGTTCAGTTATTACAATGATATTAATATTAATTTGTATCAAAACTGGAAGAGATAAGCTCAGGAAAATTCCCCTGAAAGGTAAGCTAAATAAATCATTTACATAGGTTTCAGCAATCAAGAAAAACTCTCTCCAACTCACTAAGTAAAGCAACTTGTTTTTACCTCTGACACCAAACTTGACCCAACTTATAGTTTCATAGCTGGTAGGGTCGGAAGGGACCCGAACAGTTCATCAAGTCCGACCCCCTGCCATGGGCAGGAAAGGATGCTGGGGTCAAACGACCCCGGCTAAGTGATTATCTAGCCTCCTTTTGAAGACTCCCAGGATAGGAGCAAACACCACTTCCCTTGGAAGTTGGTTTCAGATCCTAGCCACCCTGACTGTGAAGTAGTGCTCCTGATGTCCAGCCTGAACCTACTCTCAGTCAACTTATGGCTGTTATTCCTAGTTACTCCTGGTAGTGCTTGGGGGAACAGGGTTTCTCCCGTTCCCTGCTAGTCCCCCTTGCTAAGTTTACAGATGGCCACCGGATCCCTTCTCAACTGAAAATCCTTGCTGAGTAAGTTCTGTTATCTCACAAACTAAGAGAAACCAGCACATTCTTTGTCCTGAATGACTGGCATACTGTGCAGTGGAAGAGCTAAGTGCCTGCATGCCTTAGATACATTTTTTGGTTGTTGATGATGATAAAAATCATGTGTAGCTCTTCCGTACACATTCACATTTACATTAGATTCAGCACAGATTCCCAATTAGCTTTGTTAAGCATGGATTCAAAAGCACCCACTATCACAGACCTGACAGAGCTCATCCTACTGCATACTCACTACTCTTAGTCCAAACACGTTAGGGACACATGCTTTTAAGATTGTATCACATGGGATACTTAAATGGTGTTAAATCTGTAGGGTGTTATGTGGTACTAAAGTCAGAACAAGTTCTGAGCAGGTGTATAATAATGTTTACTATCAACCCTAACATGCGCTCTACCTCTACTGGGCCAGCATGCAAACTTTCCAGCATTCACTGAACACACAACTTCCACTCTCTCCTTGGCCTAGCACAGGATCTCCAATCTCTCCTTGACCCACTGCCCCTGCTGGCATCAGATCCCCAGGGGCTTCCTGGAGATTGTG